CGCGCATGCGCCCCGGCAGAGTCTCGGGGGCGCGGGCCTGCCTGGCCAGCGACTGTCTGCCGAGTCTCGCCGTCGCCGCCTGCGTCGCCCTGAGGGCTCGGAGAGCGGAGCTGCTGTCGAGTTCTAAGTGAAAGAAGCCGAGAGGACCAGAGAAGCCCGGCCGTGGCCCGGGACAGACTCGCTGCTTCATCTTCAAGCCCCTCAAGCGCTGCGGAGAGGAAAAGACGGGCACGCAGTGACCGTGGGGCGGGGCTTGCGCCGAGCTCCCGGTGTCTGGAGACGGGACTCGGACACCCCGCCCCTTTTCCGCATCGACGCGGCCTGTGGAGTGCGGCTCCGGCCCCCGCCGCGTCCCGGGCCTGTGGATGGACGCCGAGTGTTACAGGACGGGAGTCGCCTGCCCGAGCCGAGCGTGTTAGGAGTGCGGCCTCTGAGGTCAGCGCGGGGTCGGATCACATGCTAGCCCTGTGACCTCTGGGAGCCCGAGTTGCCTCCTTGGTAACATGGGGAGGGTGGTTCCAGATTCAGAGTCCCGTCCCTCTTGACGCTGAGCCTGGGAGAGGAGTGAGCCGGCGTGTAAGATGCACCCCGGAGACCGAAAGCAGCAGCTCCCTCGGCTTCAATTTCACAGCACCCACAGATAGACATCTCAGACTCGTGTGGGTAGGAAGACCGGGGCCGCCAGAAGTTAAGCGGTGTTTGGTGTATCGTCAGCCGGGTTTTTTCAGTTTTAGAGTAAGTTCCCAGCTGCCCTAAAAGTAGGATGCTCTCACTGCCATCCTCATTATAGAATTGTAGAGAAGACTTTTAAGTTACTTATAGCCCTGCCCCTTTCCTGTTGGATATTTCTACTTGTTTTATCAAACCTACTTTTTTTTATCTTGACTTTATAAAAAATAATGCTCATGGTTTTAAAAGAAATGTACAGAAGCTTACCAAAAAGTACAAGTTACTATTTTTCCTTCAGACCCACTCCTCATAGGTAACCCTTGTTAATAACTTTGTTGGATACCTTAAAATGCTTAAAAATATTTGTTGAATGAATGAATAAATGTCCTTCATTGAATTTTCTATGCCTACGCAAACACATCTGTGTATGTACGTTGCTTTTTTAGCTTTAGATGCGCCATCATTTAGCAGCTGCATGGGATGGTACTCCATCATATGGTTTTGCTGTAATTTAACCACTCTGCTGTTGATAGGCATTCATGTTGTTTATAGTGTTTTGTTACTATAAACAGTGTTGCAGGGAGGATCCTCCAACAGCACATGGAGTGTCTGACTCAAGCTTTGAGTTGTTTTTCCAGGAGCTGAGAATCTGTGGTGATGTCAGAAGAACATGGGCTTAGAATCTGAAGGTCCTAGCTGGGAGAGGAGCTGCTCGTATGACCATATGACCATTGAAAAATGGTCCTTCTTGGTCTGGGAAAGGCTAGGTTGGGATCCCCTTTGATCCAGCAGTTGTCGGGAAGAAGGAAGCCTCAGTGTAGCCACCAGACACGCACAGTCAACCCTCACCAGCTAGTGAGGCAGGAGGTTGCTCCAGATCATCTCGGTCTGCTCAGGAGTCAGAGCGACTTTGGTTCAAATGCTAGCTTTGAAATCCTGGCTCCATCCCTTAAAAGCTTTGAGGTTTTGGATAAGTCACCTCACGATGTCTCAGAGTGTCAGTTTCCTTACAGAACAGTTGTGAGGATTAGAGATGTTTGTAAACTACCTGGCACATAGAGGCATGTGACAGACAGTAACTAATGCTGTTCCTAAGGTCATTTTGCACTGACTCATTCATACTTTCACCCATTTCCTATTTAGACTCGAGCACACATTTCCAAGGCAGCCGCCTGATAGCAGGGCTGCAGGATGCTTAACAAGAAGTAGAGCAGAATTGGCCATTTTGAAGATTTTATTTATTTTATTTTTCCCCCCAAAGCCCCAGTGGATATTTGTATGTCGTAGCTGCACATCCTCCTAGTTGCTGTATGCGGGACTCGGCCTCAGGATGAACGGAGAAGTGGTGCCTCGATGCGCACCCGGGATCCGAACCCGGGCCACCAGCATCGCAGCGCGCGCACTTAACCACCAAGCCACAGGGCCGGCCCATGAATTGGCCATTTTAAAGACCAGATTCCTGATTTGCCTGCCTGTGTCTTCTGGAAAGCAATAGGCATTACTTCATTTATTCAGTAACTATTTAATGAATGCTTGCTTTTTATTATGTGCCACAGATTGTAGAACAGAGCCTTTTCCCTCCAGGAGCTTACCGTATCATCAGATGAGACAGACTCCTGAGGAATTAAAAATACAAGACAATACAATAGATAAAATAGCTGTCAGATAAGCAGTCTAGACTTCAGAGGAGAGTTATTTTTAGCTACAATGATAGGGGAGAGATTTCATCATAAGATTTCATGATGGAATGGGAATTTAGAGAGCCGTGAATGACAGGTATTTAGACAGCTGCTGTCACAGCCTGTGAGAATCATCAATTTTGGCTTTGAGGGGGAATTCCCTATAGGCCAGGATATGTGCGTGGCGTCCTAAAAATGAAACTCGGAGCACATTTCCTCTAGAAACGTCTTACATTTGTTTAAACTACAATTCAATGACTGTAGCTATGTTATAGTTGATAGAAAGATAGAAGCTTGATATAGAGAGACACTCACTTTTGTGGTCTGAGCTACGTGTCCATGTGTGCCACTGATGGGAAACCGTTCCACTGTTGGGAACGGCCCACTGACAGATGAGCTTTTGCAACACCACCTGTTTGTACATGAGAAACTACAATAGGGAGGCACTGAAAGTTTCTGAGCAGAGGAGCAATATCAAAAGATTACTTGAGGAAAGTAATCTGGTGTGAACATGCAGAATGGATGTCAGCTGCAGGGCTGTGAAGGTTCTTGCTGAAGCCCAGGTGTGAGGTAACAGCAGGAAGGGACGGATGCAAAAGACAATATGCAACCAATATCAACCAGACAAAGCAGCATTTAAAAAAATATCATGTAACTTACCTGGCAACTGGATTCATTCATTCACTAATTCAGTAGATATTTGTGTGCCTCCCAGGTGCCTGGCACTGTGCTGGGCACTGAGGATGTAACATGAGCAAAACAAAGCCCCATCCTGGTGGAGCTTACGGTACAAGGGGGGAAGAAGAGGCACTCATTCCTTCAACAAATATTTGAGGGCTCACTGTGTGCCAGGCGCTGATGTAGGAGCTAGAGAAGTAGCAGTAAATAAAACTTGAAAATCCCTACTTTCATGGAGCTTACATTCTGGTAGAGAATACAAATAAATGTGTGTCTAAAGAGAGAAATAAAGGAGAGTAAGGGGGACAGGAGTGTACAGAGGTTTATAGGAATAGATAGTGACACCGTGGAGGTGGTGGGTATATACTGTGTATTCAAGAAGTGTGGCAGTGAGGGCCGGCCCCATGGCTTAGCGGTTGAGTTTGCGTGCTCCGCTGCTGGCGGCCCAGGTTCGGATCCCGGGCGCACCAACGCACTGCTTCTCCGGCCATGCTGAGGCCGCGTCCCACATACAGCAACTAGAAGGATGTGCAACTATGACATACAACTATCTACTGGGGCTTTGGGGGGAAAAATAAATTAAAAAAAAAAAAAAGTGTGGCAGTGAATGAAAAGAGAAATAAAAGGGTTGGTGGTGAGAACAGTGGCGTTGAATGAAGTATTTCTTAGGGTGGCAGAGGCAGAGGATTAGCAGCCAGTGAACACTAAGGACTGAAGATGGGTGAAGGGCTCTTTAAAGAGCTAACTGGCAAAGAGGAGAGTCAGGAAGTGCAGTGTCACCAACAGGGAGGCTGAGAGGGCAAAGGAGAGGGAACCTCAAGCCTGAGGGCTTGGAGACAGAGCCTGCAGTGCCTCAAGGGTAGTGGTAGGAGAGAGGAAGGTTAGTGCAGCGGAGGCCTGGAAAGCTGTGAAATCCAGAGTTCAGACCGGTCAGCAGTGGATTCTAAAGCTGCCGAGATGGGTAACGTGGGAGGAGGCACATGCTGCAATCACATAAGAAGGTGGAAATGGGTGATAAATAAGAATTTAGAGGGCCGGCCCCATGGCTTGGCGGTTAAGTGCACGCGCTCTGCTGCTGGCGGCCCGGGTTCGGATCCCGGGCGCACACCGACGCACTGCTTCTCCTGCCATGCTGAGGCCGCGTCCCACATACAGCAACTAGAAGAATGTGCAGCTGTGACACACAACTATCTACTGGGGCTTGGGGGAAAAAATAAATATAAATAAAATTAAAAAAAAAAAAAAAGAATTTAGAGAGGGCAGGTAAACTGAATATCAGGGACTTTAAGTTAGGAGCTGGGATGGGGCACCATCCAACGTGCTGGTCCAGGAGGAAAGGAATAAAGGAGATTGCATCCGGTCTCCCTTTGATGGGATGGGAAATTGGCCCTTTGCCCCATACCTGCATGCTTGATGCCACACCAGGAGACTTGGCCATGGTCTTGCCCTTAGGTAGCCCCCCAAATCAAGTGAGCATTGAGTTCCTTGACTGCAGGGACCATCCTGGTATCCTCCAGAACCTAGCACGTGGAAGGCACTTGGTGTCTGTTGAATTAAAGTGAAGCCACAGGGCCGGCCCTGTGGCTTAGCGGTTAAGTGCGCGCGCTCCGCTGCTGGCGGCCTGGGTTCGGATCCCGGGCGCGCACCGACGCACCGCTTCTCCTGCCATGCTGAGGCCGCGTCCCACATACAGCAACTAGAAGGATGTGCAGCTATGACATACAACTATCTACTGGGGCTTTGGGGGGAAAATAAATAAAGAAATAAAATCTTTAAAAATTTTTTAAAAATTGGGCTGGCCCCGTGGCTCAGCGGTTAAGTGCGCGTGCTCCGCTGCTGGCGGCCTGGGTTCGGATCCCGGGCGCACACGGACGCACCGCTTCTCCGGCCATGCTGAGGCCGCGTCCCACATACAGCAACTAGAAGGATGTGCAGCTATGACATACAGCAATCTGCTGGGGCTTTGGGGGGAAAAATAAATAAATAAATAAAATCTTTAAAAAAAAAAAAATTTTTTTTTTAAATAAAATAAAAAAATAAAGTGAAGCCACACGTACAATTTAAAGAGTTAGAAGGAACATCAAAAACAGTTCAGTTGAACTCTCTCTCGAGTTTGCTTTCTGTGGGGCGTGGGCTAAATTTGGGGTCTCTCACTAGAACTCAGGGTCAGCCCCCACCCCCTGCTCCTACCAAAGCCTTCAGTAGGATTTTTCTCCCCTCATCTTTTAGATGAGAGCAGTGGTTTCCAAAGTGTAGTCTCACCCCAGGGCTCCTTAAGACCCTTTCAAAGGATCTGCAAAGTCAAAACGTTTTCATAATACTAAGGTGTTATTTGCCTTTTCCACTCTCATTCGCTTGTGAGTGTACAGTAGAGTTTTCCAGAGCCTACATGACATGTGATATCACAACAGACTGAATGCAGAAGCAGACACGGGAATCCAGACATAGAAGGGACCAGCAAAAATATAAAACAATGCCACTCTCCTCACTAAAATGGCTTTTGTTTTGGAAAACGTAGTTACATTTGTTATGCTTTATTTATGCTAACATGTAATAGATTTATTATTATTTTTTTTTGGTGAGGAAGATTAGCCCTGAACTAACATCTGTTGCCAATTCTCCTCTTTTTGCTGAGGAAGATTGGCCCTGGCCTAACATCTGTGCCCATCTTCCTCTACTTTATATGTGGGACGCCTGCCACAGCATGGCCTGATGAGTGGGGACGTAGGTCCGCACCCCGGATGCTAACCCACAAACTCTGGGCCGCTGAAGCAGAGCACGTGAACTTAACCACTACGCCACCAGGCGGGCTCCTAGATTTATTATTATTAAGTGAATTAATAAAACTTTTAGGGCCAGCCCCGTGGCTTAGCGGTTAAGTGCGCGCGCTCTGCTGCTGGTGGCCCGGGTTTGGATCCCGGGCGCGCACCGACGCACCGCTTCTCCGGCCATGCTGAGGCCGCGTCCCACATACAGCAACTAGAAGGATGTGCAGCTGTGACATACAACTATCTACTGGGGCTTTGGGGGGAAAAAATAAATAAATAAATAAAATCTTAAAAAAAAAAAAAATAAAACTTTTAAAACTGCCCAGTTTTGATGTCTAAGATGGTAACTATCAATAGGTAAGATACATATAAGCAAGAACTCTTTGGGGTCCTCAATAATTTTTCAAAGTATAAAGGGGTCCTGAGGCCACAATATTTGAGAAATGCTGGATTAGATACTGCTGCACCCCAGCTTCCCACTCCCTTTTTTGTAGGAATCTAAATGGTAAGAAGGATCTAATGTAGCTTATGACCAGGCTGCTATCTCAACCAGAGAAATCTCTCTCAGAACAGCATCAGAAAGTGACCAGTGTGTTCCACGCGGGCACACTTGGGAAAGTCTCACCCAAAAATCCCACTGAGCTAATAATCCTTGGACCAGTTTTTCCGGTTTCCTAAGCTTTGTTAACATCAACACTATCATTCCCCCTGGACAGCTGCAGGGAGCCCTCCTACCAGAACTGAGGGGCAGCTCAGAACCACCCAGTGAAAACACTGGGCTCTACCCTTTCCAAAAAGTGAAACCCAGTCACTCCACAGAGCCACATGCCAAAAAATTGACTAGTTTATTTTGTTAAATTCACCTTCCAAAATTATTTTTCTACAATGGCCCTGGGGCTTCGTGACCAGCGTATCAAGAAATATGGGTTTTTTCCAGTTCTGTAGCCAACAGGCTATATGACCTTAGAGACGCTCCTTTCCATCCGCACCTCAACTTCACGCCTCATAAAGTAAGGCCCAGCTCCTCCTGTCGGAAGCACTGCTCTGACACTGAAGGTACAGTGTTTCCTGTCCAGGCACAGTGACGACCCATCCACGTGCTTACGTACTTCTCATTCAGTGTTTCAGACATTCAAACACAGTAATCCTCATTCCTCAAATCTGATTTTAAGTTAGCAGCTTTTCAGGGCCAGCCCGGTGGCTTAGCAGTTGAGTGCGGGCGCTCCGCTGCTGGCGGCCCGGGTTGGGATCCCGGGCGCGCACCGACGCACCGCTTCTCCAGCCACGCTGAGGCCACGTCCCACATACAGCAGCTAGAAGGATGTGCAACTATCTACTGGGGCTTTGGGGAAAAAAAAAAGAAAAAGGGGGAGGATTGGCAGTGGATGTTGGTTCAGAGCCAGTCTTCCTCAGCAAAAAGAGGAGGATTAGCATGGATGTTAGCTCAGGGCTGATCTTCC